ATGGTTTCACGAGTGTGAAGAACAGTAGTATCAAATAATGAGATGTTGTTTTTTTTAAATTACCATTATGTATGCTAATACGTTAGCAAGTTATTGTTAAATAACATCAATAGGATCAAAACATGTATTATTTAGGACTTAAGGCCATATCAAACTAAAATGTGGGAGTAAATGGCATACCAAAATTTTTCTTCACCTTGGGCCTGTGAAATACTAAATTTAAATATGCCAAAAATTTGAAGGGAATGTATTTATTTGCTACTAAGATACTGTTGCCTGACGGATCCTTCTGTCCCCTGCATTGAAGGTTACATAGAATTGCAATTTTTTTTGGACTTAGGGAGAATGGTAATTGTGGTAAGTGCTTAGTCTGTCCAATGATGAATAGATAAGAGCTGCCCTTTATGGAACTTAAATTGGAAACTAATTGAACATAAATCAGACACAAGAGTTCGTTACGGTGAAATAAAACATTTCGGCGCCTTCGGTGGCATAACAGCGTATCGTACTGTTGAACCCAAATTAACGGGTTCAAATTTGATCAAAGCCCTGGACTTTTAAAGGCGGAAAAAAACTTTGTACGCTTTCTTTTGGAAGGGAAGTAAAGCCGGTTGCCCCAGATTGTAGATTTACTGCATGTGAAAGATCAAGCCCAAAAGAAGCCTCTGAGCTAACTTCTAATCACCTGATTTCTTGCCCAATACTTTCTCTGTTTCTTGGTAGTGAAGGGAGTGTAGCAAACTTTACTTGTGCAGGTGGAAGAGGAGGTTTGATGAAAAAGTTCAAAACCTGTTAAGAACTTGAAAAACTTTTAGTTTCGAACTGTTGATTGGATTGTATCTTCTAAGTTCTGCTGACCTGTTTTATTTGGATTTAAACACCACCAGACTGGCTTTAAGAAAAAACTGTGATAAGAATAATTTGTAGATATTGTTCTTTAAACATTTTGTGATTTATAGTCTTCATAATAGTTTTCTATGCATAGGAAAGTATGAAACTGTTAAATGATAAATTCAAAGATAGGAAGAGTGAAAATACACAAATTTATTTTATTTATTGTATATATCTAAAAATTTGTTTCAATATTACATCATTAGTGTTGTGGACGCTAGAAACAATTAAACTTCCTTCAAAACACATTCAGATAATATTGATGGAGCGGTTACTTGAATAAAAAAGTATTTTATATTCATTATTTTATATAACATGAGATTCTGTTGATAATATTTTTTGTCTTAATTTAATTTAATTGCATTCATTAATCGAGCATTTCTGTTCAATATAATAGTTTTTACTTTTACATAAATTCACGTTTTAAACATAGTATATTGAAATACAATTTAATCTAGTTTAACTCATCACATTTTTGTTGCATTTGTAAATATTTTATTTCAATGATTTTGTCAATGAATCACTTTTAAAAAATCACAATTTTATCGATTCATTAAATGTGTAAAACCACATATAAAATATTTTGTTATTAATCATAGTATACTGTGCTAATTGAAAACCAAATTCAAAGTCATTAATAAATTTGCAATTCTCTCTTATCAAAGTATTTTTATTTAATTGAGATATTTTCAAAATTGTTAAAACTATTTCTGTTTCTAAACCTATCCTCTAAAACTATTTCTAAAAAGTGCTGTTTGCAAATTTTGTAAATGCCTTCAAATTGTAGTGAGAACAAAAATATTCAATTATTTAAGAAAAAAGTTATCAGATTATGATTGTTTCAAAGTTTGTACAAAAGTTCATAAAAATCCATTACAGTTTTCACAGATTTGAGGGATGGTGGTACCAGCAGTATTTGTGAGATTAATGGGCCATTATGTCCCACAGAAGAATTAGGAAGTTCCATTCTAGAATATAAGATTTAAAAAAAAAAAAATGCTGGATTGTTTCTAGTGTAGTCACACTTCAAAATATTGTGACCATTTCATAGTCCTAAACAGCAATATGGAACATACAAAAAATCTGCAGTTCTTACTGTTCTTATGAGAACCTAATAAGGAAATTCAATTTAAATGCATTAAATTCAATTAAAGTGAAGAATTTAACTTTTTCAATTCATGAACAAGTTTTCAGAATGTGATTCATTGGATAGGGATTTTTATTATTTTATGAAAGAAAAAAAGAGTTAGCCCCAAATTTCATTGCTCATATATTCTTTTTACTCTGGGAAGTAAATTCAGTCGCTTGTTTGTAATGCTAGGACGCTAGATTCCCAATAACCTCATATAGGGCTGTGCGTGATCTTTGCTGTCCGGGTGACGTCGGAAACACAGCCTACAAAGCGGCGTCACCCTGATAGACAAGATCGCGCACATGACTCTGGCTGCGGAAGCCTACGACTTCCTCATATAGAGCTGCCACTGCAGGCGAAGTGGTTATTCTGTTCACGACAAAACTGGTGTTGGTAGGTACACCACACCACGTTTTTAAACTATTTTGTAAGCCTCATTAAAAGGGTGAAACAATTTTCAAAATAATTATTAAAATACAAAGCTAATAGAAGATAGTCGCTTTTGTATTTGGCGCATCAATTAAAAAAAAAAAAATTGTCCCCTGAATATGTTTTTCTGGAAAAATGAGAAAAAAAATCAAATAGCATGCTCTTGCTGTTTTCTTGTGTGTATTTAAGTGAAATAAGAATATTGAAATTGGAAAACTAAAAGTTTCGTAACTCTTTCACTTTCTTATGGAACCCTAACCTGTCGTAGCCTAACATCAGAAATTAGTTCCTAGTGTAATAGTCCAAGCCAGTAGTTACTAATACAGTCGATTCCGGTTATAATGATCTCGGATATAGTGAACTTAAGTCACTGGTCCCGTTTCACTTACATAACAAATAAGCATAAGAAGATTAGTTTATTGTGAACCTGAACCTCGTTTATAGGAAATATAACAACCTGGAAATTAATTCCCTCCTGGAAAAGAATATATTGCCTCCGTGCTACAAATTCCAACATTAGGTAGCTTGAAAAAAGTAGGTCATAATCGAAGGCCAAAGGTCATAATCGAAGTCTCCCTTGAGGTGAAGGTAGTGGATCCGGAATTGAGGCCTTACTGATGACCTCATGCCACTCAGTTTCACTGCGGAAGCAAAGGCCTTGTCCTGCGTAGGCTACAACTGGCGAAGTCGACACACAATTGCTTGCTTCAGTTTCAAGCTTGATGTTACTTGATATTCCACAGGCAAAGTGCGTTGTTTTCTACGTAGGCAACAGGAAGCTCGCAACCACCACAGCCTGACGATTCCCTGCCGGGCCGCACTGAAAAACGATCTTCATTACCCTATTGCGCCATCCCGCTACCGAAAGCATCTCGTATGTTATTAGGCAAGTAAAAGGGCCTCCAAAGAGTGGGACTTCCAACAGTGTAACAAGCATTGAAGAGTATCAAGATTGCATTAAGATAATTAGACAATGGATAATGCAGAATCAAGTATGGAGAGAGCATGAGCTCTAGAGACGGACCTAGAAAAATTACTAATGAAAAATGTATGAAGCAAACAATTGAAAATAAATGAATTTTTAAAGAAAAAAATGTTGGTCTCCAGGACTTCACTATAACCATAGTCAGCTGTACTTCCATTACAATATTCAATCATATTTGTCTCCTTTCTTTTAAAATTTTCCTGAACCAGAAGATTTAAAAAAGTTTAAAATTAATCTAAACCAACAAAAAATAATATTTTCAGCAACTTACCAGGCAAAATGAAAATTGATTAAATTGGCACACGCTTTTTTATTAAAACACATGAAGACAAACGTTTTATCATCCTTAATTTTTCAATATCAGTGTCATGACATAGTGTACTACATGTACGAAATACACTTTGCCTAAAATTTTCATTATGTAGTATAATATTGTACATTGAAGTGTTTAGAAATGTGAGTATTGTACGAAGGAAATGTAATTTTAATTAAATCTTTGACATTTTTTCTTTTCAGGGCTGCACAAATCCCAACACATATGAGCCTGTAGTGGCTCTGCTATCCCAGTTTACTCCAATTCTTGATCTTCCTGTGGTGGATCCTACTCAGAGTCTTGCATTCCCCATGAATGTTATAGCACTTTTGCCGTATATGATGCTACATTATGAAGATGCCAATGAACTTTGTATAAGAAGTGCTGAAAACATTGCTCAGGTTTTACTTCCTTTTTATGCAAACAATTTATCTATAAATTTTCATCTATAATGTTTATTGAGAAAATGATGTTATTGAAAATCACATATTAGACCAATTGTATTATCATCAATCGCAAATTCTGTAAATTGTTTAGAAAATTTTATAATATTTTATGACCAAATAATTTTCTATGTTCAATATTTGTATTGTGTTCTTATCATGGATTTCTCTTCCATAGGCAAGTGCAGAAAAAAGCAAGAAACTTGAAAATCTGGGAACAGTAATGACCTTGTACAGTCGCCGGACATTTAGCAAAGAAAGTTTCCAATGGACAAAATGTGTTGTAAAGTATTTGTATGATACCTATGCTCATTTGAGCTTGAACATGTTGGCATTCCTTGTAGAAGTTAGTATTTTTGAATAAATTATCCATAATATTAAAAGAATTGAAGGAACTAGTGCTTATTACTTTAAAAATTATGTCATTATTGTTTCTAACACTGTTTCTAACACTATTTTTTCTATTAGCCTAAGCCCTCTCATGTTGCTAGGAATTCCTTACTTGGCACTGCAAAAGCTCCCTGTATCAACCCTTAATTTTAACGGATTAATTTACCACTAAGGAATGGGACAGCAATGTGGTCTTAATCATATTTTATCCTTTATTTGCTTTATTCTCTGATTGAGTGAATATAGGGTGTGAATTGGCATATCAGCGAATTTAATTTTGTTTTGCGCCTGCCAAAATTAATTTAAATTTCACAAGCATTAAATACCACACTGAGGGTTTTCCCTTCCTTAAAAAATGCCCCAAACACTATTAGTTTTAAACTTGCAAATAAAATTAAGAAATCTCTGATAGTTATTAATTTTTGGATATAAATTCTTGTATGCGTATTAGTTAATTGGATAATACATTAAAAATTGTTATTAAATATTGATTAGTGTCCTACTATTCTTTTAAAAATTGACTAACTACATCTCTTATGACAACCTTTTTTTTAAAAAACCTATGATTAACTAATAAACAACTTTTTTTTAGGTTCTGGAGAAAGGTCCCACAAGTACTCAACAGCCTGTGTTGAGTATCATACATTGCATGCTGCATTATGTGGATTTAGTTTCTGCAGCAGCTCAGCCAATTAATGCTGACCTCTTACGTGTTATTGCTAAATATATAGAGGTAAATATGAAAACATCTGATTAATTTGGGACATGGTTGAATATTGGGCAATTGTTCACCAATGCTTGAAAGACTTAGAAATATTCATATCATTAATTTTTTGAAAATTCAAAAGTTTAAATGGAAATGGCAATCTGCCATTGAATTTAATACATTGTGCTCTGTTCTTACAAAAAGTTTAAAGAAAAAATATTTACTCTGAGTGGGATTTGATCTGAGCACTTGGGTTCATGAGGCAATAGTTATTTCTTTATGCTATGGATTCTTATGTTAAACCCTATTTCAAATGTTCTGTTGATGTGATAAAAGATTCTAACACAGTTACTATTATTCAAGATTAGACAAAAACTTACAATATTTTTTAAAATGTGTTCATAAAATTATTTATGGATAGAGTATTGAGAAATAGACTAAAGTAATAGAGAAATATGTAGTTTCAATATTGACTCTGTTATAGGAAAAATTTAAAAAATTGACCTATTGACATATTTGAAACTCCAGATATTTTAATGAAATTTTCTCTTCGTCTTTTCCTTCTTCTTCCCTTTTGTCTTTTTCTCCGTCTTTCTCTTCGAAAAATGCCTTTTGGTACTAGAGTTTAATCAATGCTACCTACATAAATCTATTTAGGTGGCAGTTTAATTCCTGATATACTCATCAAGATTGTAGCGCCAAAATATCCAAAAACATGTATTTGGAAGTTGAATAGAATCTTATGGCCAGATCCAAAAACAAATTATCAGATACCTGTGAGGAGACCGAGACGCTTTGACCTCATATGTCTCAATTGGTACATGGGAAGAAATCTAACCTTGTTGCAACAGAACCGCACATCCACACGGATGCACACTCGAGGAGTTACTCAAATGCTATAAAGGGATTGTTGTATTGTGTATTAGGGGGCAGATTTTAATGAAATGTCTTTTTTAGTCAACTTTAGAACAATGTCTTTTAGTATAGATATTAGTTTTATGTTATGACGAAAAGAAAAGACCCATTTTTATATGACCAATGTTTTGCATTTTTCATTGATTTCATCGATTTTAAGATGATTTGAATGGTCCTTGCTTCAAATACTATTTACATGATGTAACAAATGTTTTCCACAGAATTCCTGAGCAGCCTATTCAATTTCTACTCTCAGATATTGTAATGTCAATCGTTGTAAGTAATCTAAGGTTGCGGCGGCGATTGTGTAACGGTTAGCGTACTGGACTGTTGTACCCAAGTTGGCGGGTTCAAACCCGATCGAAGCCGCGGGTTTTTAAGGGCGAAAAAATCCTTCGTACGCCTTCCTTCGGAGGGGAAGTACAGCCGGCTGTCCCATGTTAGTAGATTTACTTGCATGTAAAAGATCCTCGAGCCTAAATGACGCCTCTGAGCTAAATTCAAATCGCCTGTTTCTCGCCCAAGAAATACCTCCTTTCTCTCCTAGTTGGTGAAAGGAGCATAGCGAAATTTGCATGGTCAGACGGAAGAGCGGGCCTGATGGCCCGAGTCTCGCCACGTAAAATAAGGCAAATTCAATTCAGTTCAATTCAAAAAAGGTTCCTGGGACGCCAATCAGCACCATTGTCAGCTTGGACAATTTTGCAATAACTAAAGACAGATTTCCTGGTAAACCAACCAGGAACAGTCCAAACCAAAAGTGTGCAAGCTGAGTTCCCTTGAACAGAAGGAAAAAGCCTTCGAACTCGAACTCGTAAGTACACGAGTAACCTACCCAACAGGTTAAGCTGTTCATCTGAACTCGTTTTTATCACGTTTTTTATTTTTGTGTCATTTTTCTTTGCTTTTAGGGCATTTTTAAAACATTTTAAGAGCATAATTTTTTATGATATTTTAGGTCATCAAAATCCACCCCCTAGTTATTATGTATTACAGTATGATTTATTTTAATGATTATATAATGAGTTAAATCATGTTCTGCATATTCCTGTTCTAAACAACACTAGATGGATGTTTTCTTCTTTGTTGTATTGTGAAATAAATTAATTAATATTTAATAATTAATAAATAATTTAATAAATATAAATTTTTATTAATAATATTTAATATAATTTAATTAATGAATTTCCACATTTGATGCACTGAAGTAGATAGTATATGCCTATGTAACATCTACTACTGCACCTAACTGTATTAAGAAAATTAGGGATGATATTTTTCAAAACAAACATTCCCACACAATTTCACTCTTCTTGAGTAACTTGATATTCCATTTTCTTTATATTAAAGATGAAAGTCAGAGTGATGGTTTTTCTCCAGTTGCTTGGTGGCCACTTTTCACATGTTCAGAATCCTTCATATTTTGCTTCCATTCATCTGAAATTGTTTAATGAACAGAAATGTTGAGAATATAACTCCTTTTCAAAGAGAGTTAATTTTTATTTTTCACTCTCACGAATATATTTGCCTTTACAAGGAGAAAATCTTTGACATAAATGAACCAAATTTTATCTAAAATTAGTCATCTAATAAGATATTTATAATACCCATAATGAGTTCACGTGAGAAAAGTTCCTGCTATAACATGAAAACATGGAGTGATCATTAGCCCATCTCCTTTAGAGTAAAATTAATTGATATTCCAAACTATGTTGCAAAAAGCTTACCTGGTTCTGATGAAATTTCTCAACTCACCACTTTTTCATCTAATATACTAATTAATGTAATGTACCAGTTACATGTTCTTTTGTAAGCATAATTATTACAGTAGAAATTTTACTGTTCGTAACAAGGTTAGTAGGAATTGAAAATCATATGGTAACTGAAATAATTGAATATCATATGGGAATTGAAATCGATACTATAATTATATTTTTTCATGTTATACAGAATTTTATTATTTATTTATTTATTTTATTTTATTTTGTTACAGGGTTCTCATTACAGAGAAGCCTTAAAAATACTTAAACTTGTTGTCACCCGATCCTCTTCACTGGTGGCACCTCCTACATCGTCTCTTCATTCTTCCTACTGGGATACGAGCACGAGTTCTCCCCATCCTTCATTTACTGACAATGAAATATTTTCAAAAAAGGAACTTCCAGGTTTGTACTGCTGTATACAAAACGTTTTAATTGTTGAACATCCATGAGTAGTTGTATTGTTTATTTTCTCTCCAATAAACTCCATCAATTATCATTTTTTGTTGCATTTTAGGCAATTACTACTTTTGTGGTTATTATTTGTACATGTTGAAATCTATGTGCTTTTATCAGTTGTACCTTATACATGTGTTACAAATCAATTCTACATTCTCTAAATGTAAATATTTCTCATATTTTAAGCACAAATGCTTCATCAGTCTTGTTGCTTATCTTCAGGGTCATTTACCAATTTGCCTATCTAGGCTGAAGGTTCTTTTTGTGACATGTGGTCCCATTTTATCTCAAATTTAAACTTTTTTTTATAATTTCAAATTTTCAATGTGATAAAATGTATTGGGTCAAAAATTGAATTCTGAAATTTATTTAGCCATACACGTTATTGTTGTTTGCGAACATTTAAGTCTTTTATGAAATGTAAAATTTTGTGAAATATTGCATTGATGATACCAAGTATGGCCATTATCACATTTTGCTCAAAACAAATGTATGTGGGTAAGTTTTTCTAGTTGTTCAACATGCTGTATCCCTTTTTGAATATAAATAATCTACATTTTAACTTCTATTGAACATAAACTAGTAATGCTACAACAGCACATATTTTTCATGGTATTTCTAAGTTTTGCAGTTCTCGAAAATTGAGAGAGTTCAATGAAAATGAAATCTGCGCCATTTTTTTTAAGCACCTTTTGCCCCAAAGAAAAGATCGAACTCGTTTTTCATATTTGCTTTAAAAAATTTATTAATTTCAAGCAGAAATTATTCAAACATTATTAGCTTTTTCCAAAAAAATTCCTTGGCCTTATTTAAAGATCTAATTTTTAAATAGATTTTTTTTTTTTTTTTTTTTTTTTTTTTTTTTTTTTTTTTTTTAACAACCCTATCCTTAATATTGCACTTGTACAATGTTATTTTTTTGCAATTTTCTAAAATACAGAGTTAGCAAAAGTTGGGACCACCTCCAATTGTTTTATCCACCCTTAGGTACATAGGAAGGGGAAAAAAGTAAAGATTAAATATGGAACTATTTTTGAGAAAATAATTGTTTAAAAATGGCATATGTTTTCTGCTAAATTACGCGAAAACTAGTAGTAGTCTTCAGGCTATCAACTCTTGTCACTACAGTGCTTCTAACCGAGAGATGCTAGGGTTAGAGACCTGACAGTGGCAGGATTTTCAACAATAGCTTGTCAACTGGCCAAATTCATATACTGTCTGGCAGAAAATTCTAGCGGCCAGATACTCACTCACAGGCAGACTCACACACACACGCACACGCACACAGGCTGACACACACGCACACAGGCTGACACACTCGCACACAGGCTGACACACACGCACACGCAAGCAGACACAAGCCGACACACACATTCACTCACAGGGAGACACACACACACACGCACACGCAAGCAGACACAAGCCGACACACACATTCACTCACAGGCAGACACACACATTCACTCACTAAAATCATATTAATCATATTTCATAAAACGTGAAACGAAATAGATGAAATAACTAACCTCTGGAAACATTGGGAATGGTGTATTGTGTACTTTTAGTGTGAGGGGCGAACAGTAAATGTTGGGTAAAAGATCCAGCTGAAGCATGGTGCTCGCTATGCCATCTTCTCCTCACTTCCAAAGCCAGAGTTAGTCATATAGACACCAATTACTATAGTTGTACACAGGGCCCTAGAAGTTGGGTAGTTACTAGAAAAATCAAAGAAGTGCTAACCTTGGTCTAGCTGTTAGTAGGTACATACCTGCAATATTTAATATGCATAATATACAAATGGGGACACAGTTTACTTATTTTACACATGGTGGAAATGAATCAAATAAAATTTCTCAATCTGATTCAGAGATGTAGTTTGCTGTTTAGCTTCATAAATGTAATTAATAAAGTAAATGTAATTTACATTATTCACTTTTTCAACTTTATTAATATTTCTTTCTCTACATACATAAAGTTACAGAGAACAGAATTAAGTTGTCATACCTGTAATTGATCTTTGTAATTTTTCTATAAAAACAACTGAATTCATGTAGCATTTATCATTATTTTTTGGCCATAGGGCGAACTATGGACTTCACCTTTGATTTATCCCAGACTCCTGTCATAGGACGACATTATTTGTCTAAAGGCGAAGAAAAAATTCCTTCAATGGGTAGTTCAGCTGCTTCCCCACGACGATCAGTTTCGTTATCTCCTGCTGATAATGTCAGCATTGCTGGGTGGAAGCGCCCATGGATGTCACAGGTACATTATTTGAAATATTACTTTCTGATATCAGGCTGTGAGGATGAATGCAGCTGGTAAAGGTATGTCCGGACATATGATGTATTGCTGTGAAATTGAACTGTTGTTTCCCATTTACAAATATACTTTCTTGCTATTTTTCAAGGGAAGAGTACGTGAATGTCTTGTAAATTTGCTGACGACATGTGGACAACGCGTAGGTTTACCAAAAAGTCCTTCGGTAAGTATCTTTGACTTATATTGTGCGTGCTTCTTTGCAATGACAGGCATGTCAACTTTCTCATCTTTGTTGAGACTTGTCTATTTTACAGTGTAGTTGTGATCGAAAGTAGCTGCAAAGAATGCTATTGCAGAATATTGTTTTGATGTGATAATTATGCTTTTGCAAATTTAGATATTTTGTTTCAGTAATTTCTTTATTTTACTTTCATACTTTTTACCTGTAAATTCATATTATTGGATACCTTCAGAAGGAGAAAAATCTTGTATTAATGAAAATTAAGATCCCTATTTCAACATTATATTTACAATATCAATTAAAAGAACAATCACAAGGGTTTCTTTATCACCGTAAAATAATATGAACAGAACGTTGAGAGACATGTCTATTTTATTAATATTGTTAATTTGTTGACAGATAGATTAGGGATTTAACGAAGAATACATGATTTTAATGTTAGAAATAAGTTATCATAAAAGATATTAATCAGAATGACAATTCTAAAATTAGTATTCTTGTTGATATTTTTTACATTTTCTCTTGTGTTGTTTGCAAGAAAGTTGTATATCAGTGGCGGCCAGTACGTTGTAAATTAGGAGGGGCGGCATGTATGTCCAGAGATGCCTTTTGTGTACTCAAAATATTTTTTGGCTAGGGCGAACTAGAGTTTGTAGTGTATGACAAATTTGCAAGAAAAGGAGTTTTAATCTAAAAGAAAAGTTTTACTTTGAAAACGGAAGATCCAACTGTGGTCACGAAAATGAGGTTTTTCAATAAAAATTGGCTGCATACAAAATAGTATATTTATGAAATGAAATGAAAGCATCCATAGGCTTATCTTAGTAGGCATGGGCTATGTCGAATGGAACCATAATAGCAACACATTATACCCACCCAACCCACCCAACTACCAGTGCCCCCCTCTCCTTTCCTCCTGTTTCCATGACCCAGCATGCACCATCAACGTGCGGCAATGCAAAATTCAATTTTGGGGCCCTATAGTAAAAATATTGATCATTTGCTTAAGTGGACACATCAAATTTAATCTCCCCTGTAAACTTGAACTGGTGGTATGCACAAATTAAACAAGTCAATTTAGTGTTCGTTTAATACATTCTGCAACTTTTCCTGATGTAGATGGTGCCGCCCTTGAATATATAAGGAGCAGCCGCCACTGATGCTAATGTTTAAAGTAATAAGGAATTTTCCCATATGTTTTAGAAGTTGGGTTTTATAGTCATTTTCTGCACAATCATTTTGAAGTTCATTACAGTAATGTTGTGGAAGTGACATCTCCAGGACAGACAGAATTGTTCAGTCAAATGGTGCTCAAAAAGAGCAAATAGCAGCACATTTTAGAGTTTTCGATATTTGGTTCCTTGTGTTTTGGATTGCTGAACACCATTATCAGGCTTGACAACAACAATTTTAAGCAAAAATGTGTAAAACTTCTGATTTGTTTTTTTCAAAATAACTTGAAAACTGTTTCATAAATAATGACGCTATATACGAAATAAGATTAAATTAATTATTTCATGTCGTTAAGTTTATTTTCTCTACAACAATTGAGCCAAGAGAGCACCATGACATTTGGTGTTATCAGCAACTAAGTGTGCTGCAATTGTACATACTTTCTCTCATTATTTGTTTCAGCGAAGCGAACTTATAATATTGTATGAAGCTGCAAAAGTGTTTCGAACTGGCAAAAACTTTTTCTACTTGTTTTGATTCGAACTCGTGACCTTAGAGTTAACATGCTAGTCACGTTACCCCTATACCACACAGTGAAATTCTGCCTTCCTGACGCTTAAAAATGGATGAATGTTTGCCTTTGCAATTTTCACAATTCCAGAGATTTTCATTTACAATATTTTAAGATCTAGTTTTAAAGAACCATTTTCGTTAAGGGAAAAAATTTCTATTCTCAATACTGTAGTTTACAATACTAATTTTGTGTTTGCAATTTTCCAAAACACAGTGTGTTCACCAAAAATAGGGCGTGCGCCATGTTTTCAAATGTCATTTGCTCTACCGAGGAAATACAGAAAAAGTAGAGCCATTTTTCACATTTTTTTATTTTTTCCCACTTCATAAAAAGAGATCATAATCGTATGCCGGAAAATTGAGAATTTTTGGAAGAAAAACTTTTATTGCCAGGCCCAGGTAATAAAAAAACTGGATAAATCCGGTTCCTTTGTACAGGATGGCCAGGGAGGAAATGTCAAAACTTTGATAATAAGCTCTTAAGATAATTTTAAGCATGTTTTGTCTAATTAACTACTTGGATATTTTGAATGGCTGAGCCACAATTAACACTCAACAATTGGTTTGAAAAAATGCTTTCTAGGCAAAAATTTTCATTGCAGAAAATTTGCATTGCAGAGCCTGAAGTCCAAATTCTCCCACGTGATCCTTCCCGGGTATTTATTGGTTAACATTAACTACACAGGCACACAAAATAAAAAAAAGTCAGGCCCAAAGACTTTATACATGCTTCTCTACGTACGTCGACGCGCTGAATCCGTATCTGAAGCCAGAATTGCACCATCACCTCCCGTTTTTTTTAATCGTGAGAAACCACCGTGTCATTTTTTTTCGGGGGTTATCAAACCCAAAGACTCTATACATGTTTCTCTACGTATGTTGACATGTTGACGTTGTCTAGTAGTGACATGTTTCTCTATGTATGGTGCTAAATCCGAATCTGAGCCAGAATTGAGCTACCACTCTCCATTTTTTTTAAATCGCAAAAATCATCGTGAAATTGAAGATTTCCTTGTGTTTTTTCGCAATTTAAAAAACTGGAAGGTTACGGTGCAAATCTGGCCTTGGATTCGAATTTACCGCTTTGACATACATAAACAAACGTGTCAAGTCTTGGGTCTAACAGCAGTCCCGAAAACAAAAAAAAAAAATACTATGTCACTGTGTTTTTTCGGCGATTAAAAGAACTGGGGTGGTGGCGCAATTCTCTTCAGATTCGGATTTTGCGCATTGACATTCATAGAGAAACATGTGTCAGGTCTTTTTTATTTTACTTATTTACAACTTTTTTATTTTGTATGCATGTTATTAGATCCGGACGAACTAAAATTGTTATATTATATAACATTGTATAAAATATTGTATTAGAATGTTAAAACTGTCTTCTCCAAAAATGTCATATATTAGAAGAACGGAAATGGAATTACGGTACTGGTTACGATAAATAGAATCGGATATTGCTTTGTGTTATGAAATAATCTACGTTCTATTTTTTTAAAAATATTTTTATTGAATCATAAGCACTTAAATACAAATTACCGTTTAAACACGTTATTATCGAACTACCCATTTTCCCCCACTTTTGTACCATCATTGGAACACTGCACGCTCGACGCCTCGTCCTTTGCTCCGCGGCTCGGCACCAAGCAGGAGAGCAGATTTTTGTGATGTCACAGAGCGTTGAGTTGGCAAGCACTGATCTATACATTGTAAAGTGGTCTATGTGTCATTTGTCGTAGGTGCTGCGTAGTAAAAGTACCACTTTAGTATTGTCAGATGGTTTTAATGTGTGTCAATTCTTAAGTGGTCTATTGTGATTCGTTCCATAGACTATTTTAGTTCCAGGCTAGCCAAATGTTCCAGTATCTATTACTGTGTGACAACGAGAAAGCCCACCCTAAGTTCATGAAGGCCAGTATATACGGTGGAGGAATGTCTTTGTACTAACCACACGAACCCCTTATCCCATGTCCGAGAGGCTTGGCCACCGCTGGTCGGCCAAGGCCGTATCGGGCTGACGAGCCAAAGAACAGGGCAGTGGCGCACGGAATATGAAAATTCAGTATAAGAATAGGCCGAATAATAAATCAAATATTTTCATTTTTCAGGCAAAATCGAAACATAATTTTTGGATTTTGCCGGTGTTCCCGGGTTTCTAATGAAACTATAGACACTTTTTACGTGGCTGGAAGCTGCATAATTTTCTTTCATTTGAGCGCGCATTGTAAATTAGTAATACAAATAAACTGGTGTCTCAAAATAAATGTTACAGGCTAAGAGGGTCTATAGTGGGGTCCATAATATTTTTTTTTTCCAACGAGCAAATGGTATTTTTCATGAAACTGAGTTATACATGTGCATTTCCCTTTGATGTCTGAAATTATCTTCGATTGTATACCGAATTTCTTCTGAAACAATGAGTAGTTTTCATGTGTCTGTACGAATCTCTTTGCTTCAGAGCGTGACCTGCCGAACACGAACACAGGAGAAGTTTCCTAACAATCAGATGCAGATGTCTTGTGTCACTTCGTAATAAGACATTTTCCATCATATGGTGCCATACTAAACATAGGGTGTTTCACTGGTTATGTGACCAACTTGTACGGCAAGCAGGAGGTCGAAGATTATATATTTTTGCCAATGAACATTAGGTCGGAAACTCGTGTGATATTATCAGATGGGGAAAAAACTACCATATAATGATGTGGCAGATAATATTGAAAACAAGCCCGGCTCCGATAACTCATCGGCAACATCGTTACCTCTGCATCGTTGACTGAGAGATCCTACGATTGGAATCCTGACAGTAGGTCTTCGGCACTACCTACATAGCTGAATACTCTACGGAGGAAAATTCCAGCCGGCTGCTTTAATAAGAAGTTTTCCATTGTTTCTCCCATTCCAGACGAATGCCGATACTGACTTGACCTGATAATAAACTGTCAATAATTTTGTGTGGTAGGTGAGACAGAACAAATAATACTAGATTCACACCTAACAGAGCTTTCTTTGCATTCGTGCTGTCGTATATAAAGTGTCAACGATATGCAATTTTAATATGGAAAATACAAAAGCATTTATTACTATGGACTATGGGGGAATTGAAGGGACAGGAAAGATTTGGGTAAACTGGAAAACGTAAATACCGGGGACGTGAATGCGAAGTGAACCGTAGTTTTTAATCAATTTTTTTACTATCTTAAATTTGGGAAATGTAATAGATTCCACCCTTACAC